GTAAATATTACATTTTCTACCCTCCTAAGACAATGCGGAAAATGGGGGAAAAAAGGAAAAAAGAAGCAATAACTGTGGGGTTAGATTTTATACGAGGTGAGCTGGCAACTGAGATGTGTTCAGATTAGTGAGCTACATATAGTGGTGTTTTGCTAAATTGAAAAAAAAACAAAGGCAAGGATTTTTATTTAGTTGTTACAGGCAAACATCAATTCAGATAATAGCAATTTTCTCATGTATGTCCTATTATAACTCTATAGACATTCCCTCCCTCACAAAATTCTGTGCAAAGTTATTAATACATTTTCACCTAGCCCAATAACAAACAGAATTATCCATTATAAGCCCAGTCATCCACTGGAGTAAAAAGTGTATCACTACATAGGAGACATTTTTGGGTAGAAAACAGGGACACAATACTTTTTTCTTTTTCCCTGAATCAAGAAGAATAAGCTTGCTTAAAAGGTTTTCTTTCTAGTTAGGAGATGCAGGCACAATTGCAAATACAGGTGGCAGAAAGCAAGCAGTCTCTCCTATTAGCTCTTCCAAAATTATTTTATCTCAAGTCTTCAGACTGAAGCTGCTTTCCCTCTCAGCCTTCCAGAAGCTTGGACAACTGCAAAGTGCTCCCCAGTTCATGACCCAGCCCACGTATTTGAGGAATCACAAGGTATCCGAGGAGAGGGAAGAATGGCAACTCTCTTCCCTTATTAGAAAATGCAAGAAGTCATTTATTTTCCATCAGTTAGCAGAAATTGTTAGCAGAAATGTTTCTGTTAGCAGAAATCCTGCTGAAGAAGCAAAGGCCTTTATCCTCCACTGCTGAGGGAACCTTAACAACTGTTTTTCTGCTCTGACTTTTCCCATAAGGGCAGGTCTCTGTTATGAAGGTGCTGTCTCTTCCGTCTCAAACAGGGGTAAAAATGCTTTGGAAACCCCTCTTGAGGGGTTGCATTACAGCAACTTCATAAGAAAATGGCTGCAGTCCCTGGCAGGAGGATGACAATCTTTAGGGACAGCATACTTTATACGCTGGATATCAAGTTCTAATTATTTTTTATATAGTCTGATTAATATTTTACCATTCACATATCAGGATATTTACTACAGATGGTAACTCCTTCAGTATTTGTGGAAAAAAAAACCCAAACAAAACAACTTATAAATCAAGTATGATAAAATATTTCTACTCTTCATGCTGAAATTTTTATTATTGCTTAGCCTACGTGAAGTTTGTTCCAAAGCAGAAGAGTGAAGGAGGACACTTCAAACGCAGCAGCAAAGGATCCTGTTCAATAAATGCAAGAGGTTACTGCCACCAAAAGGAAAACAGTGGGATTACTCCACATGGAAACGAACTATGGCCGGTTTTATCTAAGAAGCAGACAAATGTACTGTTTTAACAAGGATGAAATAACCTTTGAAAAACCCAAAAAACCTGGTGGTGAGAATGTTTTGCAGCCTTAAGGGACAGGAGGCTGGGAAGGATGAAGGCAGAGAGCAAAAAACAATTACAAAGAACAACACTGAAATTGTATGGTTCTCCAGGGCCAGCCTTCCAGGATATTCCACACAAGAAATGAGATTTTTAAAAAAAAATAATTTAATAAAGAAACATGATCTCACTACAAAATAAATTTGGCATTTTAGAAAGATATCAGCTGATTCATGCATATTCAGCAGATCGATGGGCAGCAAAGGAAACAGATGAAGTACATCATAATGACATCTTTTATAAACATAAACCCAGCACTACCCTCTATATAATCCATGGGGGGGAAAAATCAAATTTTTTATTGCTACAGTAAATATGATAGACTTTTGTGGCATTTATTCATCTCCATGTTTTTCACAGGTGCCACACTTTGCACATGTGGAATGCAGAAAGGTATTGGGAAATCCTTCAGTGAAGCCAAGAGGTTGATTTATGGGCCAGATCCATGTTTAGTACTTAGAAGACACAAACTACACCAATTAAGTCACAGGGCAATGAATCTCTCTGCTTCTAGACTTTCTGTTGTCATCCTGCTGTTTGCTCCTCTTCCTCCACCACCCAGAGGAGGAGGACAAAAAAATAAAACCACAAAAAGGTAACAAAGATGTATTTTTTCCCCCCAGCTTTTGTTATTTTAATCCTGCAGATTTTTCGCAACCAAGTAAGAAAACTGGAATAAATATGCTCAGAAATTCACATGGCAATTGACAAAGAAGGGAAAAGGTAGATCTTGCAGTAAGTTTTGCTTCTTCTGGTGCTGAAGAGACACCAGCACCAAAGAGACGTGTCCAAAGACCAAGATGCTTTAAGCACAGAGGACCCCTTTTGAAGTTTGCTGCTACCAGTAAATACAGAGTGACATAAAAACCCTCCAGGTTTCAAGTCAGGGAGATACTAAAACAGGAAGATAAGTTTAAGCTTCTGTACTTCCAAAGCACAGTCCTAAAATCAACCTTCTCCCCCAAAACTGACAGACATGAAGGAAAGAGAGCCCTCAGAGAGACCAGAAGGCCAAGGGGTTCTTTTAGGAAGCTCTAGAGCACAGATCTTATAAGGATCCATAGAATTTAGGTGTCACATCCTTTAAGTTACCCACTACAAAAAAGCCCACAGACAAAAACAGAGAGCCCTAAAGGAATCAGTCTTTAGGACTCACTTCCACTGCAGGCTTTTCAGGGCACCACATGAATCTGATCATTAAATAAACAGAATCTTCATATAGGCAGAAAAGTGAGTGACATCATCCTCATCAAATTCCAAATCTCTCAGTTATATTTTAAATCTACCGACCAGCTTTATAAATCTGGCCAAACAGCCGTGCATTTACCCACAAGGTGGCAGTGGCCATCCAAGGATTTAGCACCTGGAGGCTGCCTTGATCCACACGCAGCTCACTTTGACCGGAGACCAAAACGCTCCGTTACGGGGAAAAACACCTTCTCTCTTGCACAAAAAGCAGAATCTGTTGGCTAAGTTAACTGGCTTGCTTCATAATGGGCGGTGCTTTCTTACAAGAAAACTGCAGCTCTTCTCAGAAAGTAGCAGGTACCCATTTCCAGGAGCACACACCCAGAACGTGTCGCCTTTTCCCTGCACAGCGCGGGGCCCTGAGGAACTCGGGCTCCTGAGGAGCGGCGGGGGAGCCGAGCCGAGCCCCAGGAGCACGGCAGGAGCGGAGCTGTACGGGACCCTGAGGGCTCGGCCAGCCCAGCCCCTGGCCCTGCACCTCCCCAGGAGCCACAGCCGGGGCTCGCCAGCGCCGTCCAAACGCTGCTGGAGCTGTCAGGCTTGGTGCTGTGACCGCTGCCCTGGGGAGCCTTTCAGTGCCCAACCCGCCTCCGAGTGAAGAACCTTTTCCTGATACCCAGCCTAACCCTCCCGACACAGCTTCAGGCCATCCCTCGGGTCCCATCTCGGCCGTTCCCCGCACCGGGCTGTGCCCGCTAGGGGATGGATGCCCGCGGACCGGGCAGGGCAGGGCACAGGGCAGGGACCTGTGCACCCAGAGCCCCGCGGACACCCGGCGGGAGTGAGGCCATGGAGCGGCTTTCCCCAGGCCGCGGCCCCTTCCCCCCGCAGCGCCCCGGGCCCGCGCCGCCGGTACCTGGAGGAGGCCGCCCATCTTGGCCCGCAGAGCGCGGAACTCCTCCGGCGGCGCCTCGGGGTAGAGCTGAGCGCGCAGCAGCTCCTCGGTGATGCCGGCGTTGCCGTGGAAGGCGGCCTGGGCGATGCCGCTCAGCAGCGCGCTCAGCGGCCTGCAGCTCTCGGGCGGCGGCGGCGGCTCGGGCGCCGCCATGGCGAGCAGGGCGTGCCCGGGGTACGGCGGCCGCGCGGGACCAGAACGCTCCCCAGGCAAGCTCCGCGCTCCGGAGCGGGTACAGTAAACCTCCGAATTGTCAACAGTTTGGCACGGAAAATACTCCATTTCACTACTCACGTGTTTTAAGGAAACCTCCACAGGCTTTGCGCTCTATCCAGGGCTGACGACAAAACATGGGGCAGTTAAAACAAAGATCAAGTGTTTGTGCACCATTTTATATAAGTTTCAATATAAAAAAAAACCCATTAAAATGCTTTGTATAACAAACACACTGTCACAAAAAAGACTGTGTTCTCCAAAGAGGTACCCACAGAAAGTTTTCTGTGCTAATACAACAGTGGTATTATTTACCTCCTGATTTCAGTCATTGAAACCCTTCGCAGCTGCACTCTTTTTTATGACATGAAAGAGAATGTTGCTCACAAAGAGAAAATACGAGTTTATGACCAACTTGACCTGTTCTGCTTTGTTCTTTCCTCGGTTTCATAGGCAGAGAACAGGCAAAGAACAAGTTGTCCTAGCATGAGGGGGAGCACAGAGTACATCTTGAAGCTAGAAGTACAGGAAGAATTAACAGCAAACACATCTGAAAGTTTCTTCCACTGTCTCCATTCATTTGGACAGTATTTCAAATGTCCTCTTTAGCCAGTGGTATTTGGATTAAACATCTTTAGAAGCTTTAAGAGAATGCTCTTTTAGAAGCATTTGGAGATACAGGAATTTCTTTCAATCACTAGGAATTAATACATAGGATGAGAGACTTAACTCCATTTGGATACAGACTCCTCACAGCACCGCTGACCTTTCCCAAAAACTCTGAGTACAGTTCATCGCTCATCTTTAAAAACAAAAGGCAGCAGGGCAGGAACTCTTCATGGCTTATCCATGTCACCCACGGAATATAAAGCAAAATTTCTCTCTGCTTTGAATTTCTGAAGATACTGTCCCTCGATGACATCTTCTGCTGCAACCTCAGGTGTGTCATTAAGTCCTAATGAGCAGTGATGGTTTACTGACTTAGGCTGAGGTACAAATTTGTCCCTGTAATTGCTTTTTCTTCTCAGATCCCAGTGTACTCAGTGTCTTGCATGAATGTGGCAAGACACATCTGGTGCCAAGTGTGTGTCTTGACTTCAAAAACAGCATGAAATACTCAGAATGCACATGGCAGCAACAAGTAACCCATGTTTTTAAGAATCTTATTTATTTGTTTTTGTAAACAACCTCATTTTTAAAGAAATTAAAAATACATTGAAAAGTCTCTCTCTACATATATACACAGTACATGTTCAAATTTCACTTCATTGTGATGCCATGGTTTAAGCAGAAAAACAAAGAGTGCTTTGATCCAAAACTCAGCTGCAATACCACCACCTCTTGGGGCACAGCACCTTCCTGCCCTTCCAGGAACACTTCACCTTTATCACCTGCACCACTTCACTTGTTCCTGATCACCTGGACAGTTTTTCTACCGTAGTGGTAATAGCTGTAGGCAGATGTCACCGTTGTGAAAGCTGTGATGCACCTTTTGGGGAAAAGAGCTCCTGTAAGTCATGTCCTATGGACAATATAAAAAGTCCTTTTTGTTTTATCTTTTTTAGCATCTAACTACACAGTGAGGTGCTGTGCACCACAAAAATGCAGCTTACAACTTTACGCTGAAATTCAGTGCTATGGGGAGGATTAGATAAACAAAGCGTCTGCCATCCAATGGTAAGCAGCATGTTTCAGTGAAACTGCATACCAGGACAAATTTTCACCACACTAGCACTTGTTTTAGAGAAGGGAAAATAAAATATTCAGCATTTGCAGCCTACATAATTTTTACCAGCTTGAGAACTGGCAGATGTGAGATACTATTTCTTGGCAGTGTGAACAGGGAGCATTCAAACCACTCAAGACTTGAGATTACCATTTTCACCAGGTTCCAAAGCTAAAGAACAAGGTCCTGCTTCAGCCTCTTTTGCTCCCTTCCAGACCACAGCTATACCTAAATGAGCAGTGCTTCCCTGTGTGAAAGGCTGACACCACCCCTGAGGTAGGAGTCACTGCTACAGCCCTCCCTGAGTGCTCTGCCAGGGAGAGTGCTCTGAGAATATTCACAGAGCACCCTGGCAAATTACACCCAGAGGCAATGCTAGATTTTGTTTTACCACAAGGATAAAAAACCACAGACTGTTAAGATCAAGGTTCATTTATGAAGTGTTCCTTAAACACTTCTTGGTTTGGGTTGGTGGTTTTGGTTTCTTTGGTTTGGTTGGGTTTTTTATTTTCCTACAAGACAAGTAACACTGGATTTTGCACTACTTTAAACTAAGTTCCTAAGTAATTCTGACATCTGCTGCTCAGAACTCTCTGTTCTGAACTCTTACCTAACAGCTCAGGAAAACTAACTGCACTTGCAACAGCTGCAGCCAACTGCAGTTCAGACTCAGTTCAGATCTCCAGTGACAGTGGGAGGAACAGCATTACTTAAGGAGGGAAGCTCCTTTATGCCTGTTCTTATCCCATCCCTTCCTCTCCTTCCTAAAGCCTAGCAGGAATCACCATTTCTCCATGTGCTTTTCAAAGAGGATTTCCAGAGAGAAGGTACAGTCAAAACCAAAATAAGAATAGCTATTTTTACTGATCCCAAGGTTGTTTTTTCAAGGACACTTATGGCATGAATAAATGAGGAATACATACAGCCTTTCTTCCTGCTCCTTTCTTCTCCACTGATCTGAATTTGTGTTTTGCCTGTGTACACCATGCCTACCCCAAAGACTTGTTTCTAAGCTATTATTCCTGGATCTTAACTAGTTTCATGTGACCACCTTTTGCTTGTGTAGTAAATTAAGTACAAATAAGTATCTAATTCTGGTGTCATTTAAGACTAAAGCTGTAAAAATTCAGGCATACAGGCTTATTACATCTTCTGGGCAGTTTTTTTGTTCCACACAAATTAATCTCGATCACCAGTTTCTTTAGGAACACATAAAATTATCTGGGGGGGAAAAAATTCAAGATATTAGTTACCATAATGTCTGCAGATAGATGCTGTCCACATAATTGAAAACAGGAGCTGCTAAAGAAGCCGCCACCAAAATCAGCTGGACTGCTGTGTTCATCTGAAAAAAGCAAAACAGGAACTGTTGAGCAACACGAAGAAGTACAGTGCAAGAAATATACATACACTTTTATTACTGCTTTAAGGATTAGTCTACACAAAGAAAATTTGTTTAGAAACCTTTTTAAAATTAAGCATTTTACTCTCTCAAAATTAGCACGTGCTCTGACAGAGTATAGTTGAAAACCTTTCATGATCTGTGCACTATTTTGAAACTTGTACTCGGCAGCAGTGGTAAATTATCCCCACCCTCTAAACCACACAATGCCCCAAGTACCCAGGAGTTGTCTTTTGTAATGAGTTACTGCTCTTACCTTGCTAATGAATGTTGGTTTTAATTGTGCGGTAGCATAACAGGGGTTAAAATACCTACTCAGTGTTCTCTGTTGGGGGAGAAAAGAGGAAAAAAAAATGCAACCCTTGCACATTCAATTTGATATACCAGTTCACATGATAAAGAAAAGGCAACTGTAGCACTAAAGAATTACACTGCTCTTTTGTAAGATTTATTATTACACATCACACACCGGAAAAAAGTTAACAATAGTTCTGACTTATCTTTACAAACCATATTTTATTAAACACTGCTCTGCTCAGAAATCTATCTGGCAAAAGAACCAGCATTACATCTTGTGCATTAAGTCTCAAGATGACAAATCTCTTGGTCACAACTTTGCTAAAAGCTTATTAATTTACTTTTTGTTCTGATTACACGTTTTTAACGCCGTGCACTTACCGGTGGAGAAAGAGTTTTGTACCGCACGTAAAAAACCGCAGCAATGAGCGCCGCATCCCGCAGGATAATCATGGAAGTCAGTGGAACTGGAAGTTCAAGCCAACAGCATCCAGTGAAAAATTGTGTCCGTGATTAAAGGTAAAACGCAACCAAAAGAGCAGAAAATTGGAAGCAAGACAAAATAAGTGCTCCCAAATTCTCCTGAACGAGTTCTATGCACTACTGAGGATGTTTAACACAACTCCTGAAAGGGTCTGAGCTGAAGTCTTAAAACAATCCAGCCCATCAAAAACAACTTTATAGAGCTACCAACTATTATTGCTTTAAAGGAAGAGCATTTTAAAATGGCAGTACAGGCTAGTTGTTTTTTTTTTTTTTTTTTTTTATGTGGCAGCACTTGCTTTCTGCGGGGTCCCTCTGGAAGTGTTTAACGGGAGCAAAGAGCAACTGGCAAAGCAAGAGTTCCAAGAGATACACAGTTTTCCTCCTAGAAACACAGGAAATGTTGCTACACATAAATCGACCTTCTTTACCTTATCTAGAACACACAACTGACATAAACTCACCTGGGATAAGATTTGCACAAGTTAGGCTCACGTAGAGCACACTGATGAGAATTTTATCTGCCAGGGGATCGAGAGCACTTCCCAGTGCTGATTTCTGATTAGCCCAATTCCGTGCAATAAATCCATCCAACTAGGAAAATCAAAATTCAACAGCTCTCTGTTAGAAGAGTATGAACCAAAGCAGCTCATGTACACTACTTTAGAGAGGTATTTAATGAATAACAACAGGTAAAACAGGGAGTTTAACCACGATAAAATGTGATGCCTCTTAGGTGACACTTGTATAATTTAAAAGACCACCAGATGCACAAGCGCTGAGTGGCCAATGCCGACCTGGGGCTGGTCAACGAGCCCTAACATTCCCTTTTCCTCCATTAGCATTAAGTCCCCTTCAGGCACCTGCGAATTCCCTTTGCAGCACCACGAAGGATATATAGAGCATTCCCAGAAATCACCAAATCTAAAACCAAATCTGTTTTACCCATTTCCACACTACACTGAAGTCTGCTTCAATGCATGACCACGGCATCACCGTGAGCCCGGTGTCCCCAAAGCTTTTCCAAACTGATGCAGACATACCAGGTCTGTCACGCCAGCCAGGACAAAGACACCGAGGGCAACGCTGAAATTCTCCTCAACAATCAAATAGCCTAAAACTGGCGCCAGACCCATTCTCGCCATGGACAGGATATTTGGGATGGTCCAGGGGTTTTCATACTGTAAAGCAAGAAACGTAAAAACTTCAGGGCATGAACGCAACCCCCACTTTGGCACTTAACGGAGTTTTAAACGCGACAAATACTTTTCGCAAGTGAACCAGACAGAAAGCCTGGAAAGTTCTTGGAAGCAGCCCGCTGCTTGCACAAGGCACATAGCCTCGACCCGCTAAACATTAACTTCGCCTTCAACGGGAAATCGCCCCGCCGCCAGAGCGCCCACGAAGAGCCCGTCCGGGAGCCCCGGCCGTGACACCTGCCAGCCCCCCCGTCCCCGGTGTCACTCACGTACCAGCTCGGCGTAGGGCCCCGCCGCGCCGCGCTCCCGGGGGGGCTCTGGCGGGGCGGCCCCACCGCTGAGGAGGCGCCAGGCGGCGGCGGGAGCGCGCAGCAGCCGCGGGGGCCCGGCGCACGCGGGCAGGCACGAGACCCCCCCGCCCGCCGCCGAACCGGGCCGGCCGCCCAGCGGCCTCGCGCCGCCGCCGCCGCCCGGCCGCCTCCGCGCTGCGCCGCGGAGGAGCCCCCAGGAGCCCCTGCCCAGCCAGGCGGCGGCCAGCATGGCGCGGAGGGGCGCGGGAGAGGCGCGGGAGGCGGTGCGGCAGGAGCGCTGCGGGAGGGGCGCTGCCCGCGGCCCTACGCGCGCGGCCGCGCTGCCCGCGGGAGCGCGCGGCCTCGCGCCGCTCGCGCCATCCGACCCGCGGCACTGGGCACGGCGCGCGAGCCGCGCGCGCCGTCTGTGCCGCGAGCGCTGCCGCCGACGCGCGACCTTTTGCGGCGCTTTGCGTCAGCCCCGCCCCTCGGCCAGGCCGCGCGCTTTACGGCAGCCGGGCAGCCGTGGCGGTGGAAGGCCGGTCCCGGGAGAGCGCTTCCCCGCTGCTTTTCCACCGCCTATCTGCAGCATTCCCGCCTGCCTCCCGGCCCAGGCCCGGTCCCGGGAAAGCGCTTCCCCGCTGCTTTTCCACCGCCCATCTGCAGCATTCCCGCCTGCCTCCTGGTCGAGGCCCGGTCCTGGCGGTGTCCATGGCTGCCCGGGTTCGTCCCGCTCCTCCTCACGGCGGGGCCGCGCCGTTCTCGGACAAGCCCTTGAGGGAGGAAGGGGAAGGTTTGCTTTATCTTCAGGGACTTCTCAGGGAGCGCAAGTGGTCTCTTGTGCTCGGTACTTGTTTCTGGCCCTCGCTTGCCCGCGTTTGCCTTGTCTCAGGGAGAAACAGGAATGAGTTCACTTTCCAGGTGCAGTTGTTTGTTTGCTCATGAGGCACGTTCGAGTCCCCCAGCCCTGCACTCAGCCAAAATCAGTGTCTAACACCCACTTTCGGTTTGTTTATAGTACAGACTTCGCCCCTTATGAGTTCAGGCGTAGAACTGTAATTTCATACTTAAAGCATTTCGTCTGTCTGACCAGTTTTCAGTTTCAATATATTGGGTCCCTGACACCCCTTAAATTAGAGGATAAAGCACTAAGTTTTTCTGCTTTTTTTCATCTATCATCTCTTACCTGAGAAATGAAAGAGGGAAAACAGGAATCAGCATTGAAGTCTTGATTTTTTAAAATACATGTTTTCTTTAGGGAGGTGTTGGTATTTGTGGTTTTTTTAATTCTTACACTGAAAGCTTCTCAGCTGCTATTTCATTGCACCAGACCATGATTCTGATTTCATCAAAGTCAGGAAACATTCAGCACTTCACTCGTGCTGAACACACATTGTTCTGTGTCAGGAACAATTACACAGAAACAAACAAAACCTCTTGGTGTTACAGATCTTGTAAGGGCCATTAAACAGCCTTGAACAAATAATATTTTTCATATATAAAGTTTAATGAAAGTCAAAATCCAATCCCTGCTTTACAAATCAAATATTGCAATATGCTTTACAAATTAAATATTGTAATAAGGGTATTTTCTTAAAGCAGACTTGTATTTCAAATAAAACCTTGGCTTCAAAGCAGAAAATCAAGTCAGTTTCAGTAAAGTGGCATCTGGTAACAGCCATAAAACACTGCTGTCACAACCTTTTGGAAACATTTCTGGACTTTAAATGAACTACAGTGCTCAAAGTACAGCTCATATCATCCTCTCATGAAAGATTTCTGGACTGAAGTATGTGGGTCCAGCATCTCTTTTAGAAGTCAAGTCCCTTAAGGCACTGTAATGGTATAAAAACACACCTTCCCTCCTGGAGGATGCTGAGGTGCATTACAGCCCTGCACAGTGCCATTTGAAACAGCAGAGCTGTAGGATGAGCCAGGCAGCAGTACCAGGTGTCAGTTTGTCCTGTTGCAGCTCTCCAGTTGAATTTTCTGCAGGGGAATCTCCAGCCCAGCAAACGCCAGCGCTGTGCCAGGTGGGGTTCAGGATGTGCCTCCCTGCTGCAAGTCCATCAGTCCAGTGGAATGATCATCCCAAGGAAGTTCATCACAGTGACTCTTCTCACATGGTCTGAAGCTGATAAACTCTTGAACCTTTTTTCAAAAGATAACCCTGATCATTTAGGGATCCAATAAAGCTCTCAAAATCAGGTACCTGAGAAAATAAATATAAAAAAATCAAACTGGAGAATGACATCTTGCCTGACATAAAGCAACATAAACCATTTGAAAGAACTTAGTGAAATAAAGTGGGCTGAGAATAGGTCAGTTTCCTTAGCAAACTGTTCACCTACCAGGAGGTCTCACACCATCAGTACCCCTGTTTTGTGCTTTACTTAACACACAGTTTTTACTGCAATGTTACACAGAAGCAGCATTCTCTCCTTCACAAAATGGAGGAAGGATGCTGGTACAGATGTATAAATTCCACTTGTAAAACACTAGTATCTACCACAGAAAAGCATGATTTCTACTACTCTCTCTGACTTTCTGGTATAAAACTTTGAATGGGCAAAAATATTCTATATATGAAGGGAGAATTAGAGTTAATTGAATTAACTTTAATAAATAGTTGATGGAGCAAAAAGTAGAGTTAGCTATCAATAACTGTTTGGCAGAAGCCCCCACAAGTAGAGAATGCAAATCAATTACAGGGCAGAACACATTTGTGGCCACATGTCCTACATGATGTTCCTTTCAACAGCATACAGCTTTAGGATGTGTGAAGCAGGAATGAAAACCTGAAAGGCATATTTACTCCAGAGGAGGTCCTGCAGAAACATCATTGCACTGCTGAAACAGAGCACGGACACCACAAGCCTAAACTTGGGAACAAAAATAGCCGTGTCCTCTCGGGAGGCAGAGGGAGTGAAGCACTGAAACCAACACTTCAGGAACTCTGCTCAGCCTACCAGCATACACTGGTTATTTCTGCCATTGCAAAGAGGCACAGCAGAGGTGCCTTTGCTCCTCTCCCTTTGGCAATGAATAATTGTGGGTGGTTTGGCAGTCTGGTGTGGCTGAGCTCACCCGTATCTGCAGCTCCCTGGCGATGTGCCGCAGCTGCTGCAGGTCAAAGAGGTTGTTGTAGGTCCTCTCTGCAACGCTGTTCAGGGCAGACACAAATCTCTTGGCTTGCGACCGATTGCTCATCCCAGACCCGTGCTGGGAACGCTCAAAGTCCAGTTTTCCAAACTCATCTGAGTAGGTCCCCAGCATGCTACAAACAGGTTATGAAAAGAGAGAAAGAGCAAACATATGTGGATTTTATTCCCAAAACATAACTGCTGGAGAGAGCTTTCAGAAGCCACATAGAAAACCACCCCCATCAAGTCACTCTCTAGGGAACTTAAACTAAGCATTCATCCAAATCACTTTTAAACTTAAAATTGTTCACCTGCACTGGAGAGTAAGCACAGGGGAGAAAAAACCTTCAGCAGAGCCTCATGTCTGTGTTACTGTGCCCAGACACACAGAACCACTGTGATCACACAACTCACAAGCCTAAGCAGTTGCATTTGACTTAGGGCTGCTGGCAGCTTTTAAAGAGCAGCAAACAAATCCAAATATTAGAACCAAGGGCCTAAGCTTGATAAAGTGATTTCTTCACTGTCTTTGAATATGTAAAAGAAAAAAGGTTTCAAAGGAATAGCACTGTGGTGCTTTATTTATTTTTAAGCCAGTGTTTTCTATTACCTGTATTTCATGATCTCTATTACATCCTGAGCATCTTCCTTGGTAGATTTCTCTCTTAATTCCAATCTTGATCGTGCCTTAAAACAGAAAAAAATACCCCATGAAGATTTAAGATATATCATAACTGATGTGAAAAAGGGCTACAATCACTCAACAAGAGCTACAAGCACAGATTATAGAAGCAGAGATAGAACCTAAGCCTACAGGATTAGAGGAAGATTTTTCTATTTTTTGTTAGTGTGTCAATATCAGCTTCTGCATACTTGCACTTTTAGGCTGTAGCTTGGAGATTATTTGCTTTTTAGCAGTGTAGCCTTGTGAAGCAGCAGATCACAAATAGTGAATTCTGTTAGGGAAAACAGAAGCATCCTAAGTTCAAGGTGGGCAGGAGGTATTCCTGCCTGCACCTACTTTTTCTCCTTTTGGGGAATGAGATAGATTCTCTTTCCAGCTCCTCAAGGGTGTTTTGATTTATAAGAAGTTTTAAGGAACAGTAGCTCTTAAGCACTGCTAAACCTCTTGCATTCTCACTTTTTTTTTTTTTTTAACAAAACAAAAAAAAGCATAGTGGTGAATAAGCTGTAAAAAATGATAGGATTTGGGTAGTATCTCAGGAATAATCTCTTTGCTTTCAATCCCTTCAGCATTCCAGCTTGCATTTACCTCTGTCAGTCGAATCAGGGACTCCAGCTGCCTTGTGGTGATGGGGGTGCTGTCTGCTCCTTGGTTCTGCTTCCGGAGCTCAAGGTAGAATTCCTGGAGGACTTGTGCAGCCTCTGGAGATAAGTTTGGGTGCACGTACTGCCGAGCATATCCGACATACTTCCTCAGCAGCTGATGGGGAATGGCATCAAAGTTCTCTCCTGTTGAGATCTAGCATTGTTCAAAGTTAGATTTCTTTCTGTCAAAATTCTATGCAATAAAAATTTTAAAATCCAATCCTCATCTTTATGCTTTATCTGGTGAAGTCATCACTATAAGGGCTTTAGTGCTTCATATATGAACACTGTACTTCAAGTACCCACACTATGCTCAGACATGTAAACATACACACTTGGCCATTTCAGAAAAAGCAGCAAGTGCTTCTCATCTGCAGCGATAGGAAATGCCAAATAGAATTAGTTATGTAGTTAAATCCTTCCTCAAAAAGAGGAAATCCAAATTCCCAATTGTTACAGCTCCAGAGAAGACTAAACAGTCACTGCTGATATCCTGTTTCCAAAAGTGCATGGGTTTATCTGCAGAAGGAGTATTTCTCCCAAGACCTGGCATTTGACAGTATCAGTCAATACCAGTTCTCAAAGCCATCAC